GCTGCAAATTGATCTCCGTGTCGCCCGCCTGAGTCGTCACCTCACGCAACCACGCCTCGTACGTCGCCACGGCTTTGCTGCTCTTGCCAAGGGTATCGGAGCCCTTGCTCCCACCGCTCTCGCCCAGCTCGCTGTCGGGGATGAACCTCCCCTCCGAGCAGTAGCCGTCGGGCACGTGCCAGTGCCTGGCCAACATGCCTTCACTTGCGGCCCCCCGCTGCACCCCTCGCGAGCCGGTGAAGGTGACTGTCCGCACCACCGCCTCCATCGCCCTGTCTCCCTCCTCGGGGTGCGCCCGCAGCCACCTGAGGAGCTTGACGCGATGGGCCTGAAGGATGGAGAACATCTCTATGTCGGGCACCCCGAGGCTGTCGCCGCCCTGCGCCTCCTTGTCTTCCTTGGCGTCGGCTGCAGTCTTCTCCTGGGGATTGGCGGCCGCCTCGGCGGCCGCTCCGGCGTTGGGCTGCTCCGGGAGGGAGGGGGGCGAGTAGCCCGGCAGCCCGGCGCCCCTCCTCACCTCCGCCTTGAAGTTGTGGTGGGTGAAGACGAACACCTGGCTGACCAGCAGCGCCGACACAGCCGCCGCGTCGAGCTCCTCGGCTGCCGTGTCCTTGTAGATGTAGGCCAGGTGGGCGTACAGCACACACGCCATGTGCAGGTCGGAGTGGTGGGCGGCCTTGGCCGCCCAGTCCTCCAGCAGCCGCACCACTGGGCCGGTCAGCCGTGCCCTCACCCGCCGCTGGGCGGTCGAGAGGAGGCTCAGGATGTCTGTGGATGTGGTGAGCCCCCGAACCCTCGCCGCCCACCCCACCCCGGCCATCTGCCCTGTGTCCGTCTCGGAGGCTGTCGGCGACGGCCCGTCCCTGCCATGGGTGTCCCAGAACTTGTTGTGCCGCAGGATGAACAGCACGTACCCCTCCACCTGCACGGCCAGCCGCACGATGAACAGCAGAATCGACGCAGCGGGGGTCGTGTAGCGCCCGGTGTCCTTGTCCATGGCGATGTCGAGCAGCTCCTCGAGGGCGTAGAGGACGGTGCGCGGCGAGTGGGTGAGTTCGTTGTAGAGCAGGCCGAGCGGGGTGGCGAGGAAGTCGCGTGATGGTGCGGGGACGAGGCCGGGGAGTGGCTTGTGTGACGACTTTTGCCAGATGGATGGCTCGAACAGGGTGGCGCTGAGGACCTGCTGCAGCTCTTTGGAGAAGAGGGCGTCGATCTTGGACTCGTCGGCGAAGAACTGAAGCACCAGGGGGATCCTGACACAACGCGCAGACACACAGAGGAGGCCGTGTTTCCATCCATCAATGTGTGTCAAGATGCACGTGTGTGTAGGTACCTACCTGATGTAGGGTGCCGTGAGATACTGCAGCAAAAGCTCCGCGTCCTGCGCGCCCAGCCTCCCCTCAAAGTCAGGCAGCTGCTTCAGATGCAACACGTCATCTGACCACACACACACGCACGCACGCACGCACGCACACACGCATCCATGCCTCTCTGCCTGTCCTGTCCCTTCACCGACCTTCAGTGTCGATCCTGGTGCCCTGGACGAGGTTGCTTGGGTCAGCCGCACTGGGCGGCGCCCTGGCCCGGCCCTTCATGCCGAACCAAGCCCCCAGTCGGCCGAACATGCCCTTCTTCTTTTTTTTGTCGTAGTAGTCGTCCTTGACGAACTCGGCGCACTCGAGGGCCTTGCCGAACCCCCGCACCACGAAGGTCTTCTTGGCGTGGTTGTAGGCCCAGTTGAGCGACGCGTCGGCCACTGACCATCGCTTGAGCTCGGGGAGGGTCTCGCCGGAGGGATTCATCAGCGCCTGGGGCAGAGAGACACGCAGGGATGCGCGAATGACGTGTGAGTTGCGTGATGTGTGTGTTGTGTTGTGTTGTGTTACTTTGAACATGAAGACGAGGTCGCGGAGGTAGAGCATGTCGGGGTAGAGATCCATCAGCTGCAGGGAGGGAGGGACACACGCACGTGCGTCGACTGATTTGCCGGGGTGTGTGTGTGTTTGCGTCCAAGGTTACCTCTGGTTGTTCGCCCGAGAAGTAGAGGGGCAACAGCTGGGGGTGCCGATTGAACCCCATTTGCAGACATATCTGTGCACCCCCCCCCCCCCCCCCCC